ATGTCATGAAAGATAGGAGTTCTGGCAGATTTAAAGAAAAGCTGCTTTTCATGATAACCACATGAGTTTGATAGAGAATAGTTCTTGTTTTGCCACATTAGAAGTAAGGAACAAGAGGGGCCCATAAAAGTTGTAAAGACTCTTCAAAATTATGGCTCTAGATTTTAATTCTTTTGCTAAATAAATTTAATTTGAGTTTGTATTGTTAAACATACAATAAAATTACATATTTTAGTTTTTCAATAGTTTTCTTTCAAGTATTTATACTGGGTAAGCTTTCACTAAATTAGCAATTTAGGAATAACAAACCATCAGGCTAATTTTTGTTTCTTTATTCTCTCTCTCTCTGTGTCTCTATAGGTGGTGGTGCATTAGTTCTTGGGCAAGAACAAGACAAAAAAGGAGAGGGATTCAATCCAGCTGAGTCCTTTGTGGGCTCCATAAGCCAGCTCAACCTCTGGGACTATGTCCTGTCTCCACAGCAGGTCAATTCCATTTTCAGTGTATGACAGTAATGAGATGCAAAGGTACAAACCTAGTACAACTGTGAACAGCCTAATGATGACATACCTTGTTGTAAGCCCTTGGCTATCAGAACTTATTGTCAGTATCGTTAGGTGTTAGGGTCTAAGTTAGGTGGAAGCTATATGCAGTAATTTTTAATGACCATCCTTTTCTGGTTTCTTGCTGATATATTGACATTTTACTGGAAATGAGGAATTCATAAAATCTTGTGATTTCAGAGCTGGAAAAATCTTGGAAAATAACACTTCAAATCTCTCTGGTTGAACTTGCAAAAACTTAGGAGGCTTGCAGGGTCCTAAGGGAGTTAGTGATTAACAAATGAGTTAATGATTAATGCTAGTCTAGAGTACAATAGCCCATGTTCAAATCCCATGTCTACCATGGTTTCAGTCTAGTGGAATGATCGTGAGCATGTTGCTTCATCTCTCTAAATTTCAGTTTTCTTATCTATAAAAGACAGAAAAATACAACTACACAGCAAAGTCCTTCTTGGACTGGAAATAATATGGCATCAACTTGTGGTGTTTGACCCTAAGCAAAAGTTAGACAAATGTTCACTCTTACAGTTACAGTGGCAGAACCTCTTAATCTGTTTCTTCACTTTGTGTCTGAAGTCAAAGACAGAATGTAGGGTGCTGACACCTTAGTAACCCTCTAACAAGCCTCAGATTTCAAATTTTCATCAACAGTGAGTTTTGTTTTTCTTTTAAAGAAGAAATTTTTAAAAATGAGTTTAATGAGACAGGAAATGATGGAAGTCAGAATGAAGGAAATAAATTTTTCCTGTTGCTTCTGAAATCATATCATGCACAAGACTGTGTCACTTTGCCTCCATGCTCAGAATATTGCCAAGTGTTTTAAAGGGACCAAGTAAAATAATCCTAGGTTGGTGGACAAGTAACACTTCTCTAAAGACGCCTTTTTGTAATTTCAGGTGAACTCACTCGCTACATCCTGCCCGGAAGAACTCAGTAGAGGAAATGTGTTAGCCTGGCCTGACTTCTTGTCAGGAATTGTGGGGAAAGTGAAGGTCGACTCCAAGAGCATATTCTGTTCTGGTAAGAATCTCTTTCCATCCACTTTGCCATCTCTTGGCTACCCTGCAGTTTTTACCTAAAGGAATAATTCAAAATTCTCTAGTAGTCAAATCATACATGCCTATTAATCTCATTAACATTAATTCATATTTACTTTATGCCCATCTCAAGGACTTCTCAAATGCTGATATACATTCTGTTTAATAATCATTGTGGTTTGGAGTTTTTGCAAGGGGAACAATATAAGATAAGACTATTTTATAGTGAATAACCCAAAGAATCATATGCAGAGTGCAGGAAATCTGTCCACATACTAAAGACCAAAGAATTCAGCTGAGGTTCTGGAACCTAACATCCTGCATGAGTTCAGCTGAAAACCAGAGCTCATACCAATGCCTCCCACCAGTCCAGCTGGAGGCCTACAGCTTATGACAATGCCGTATGCAGGCCTGTTTCATGGATCTGCACTGCGAAGGCCCAAAGGTCAGTGATGAAAGGTAGAAAGTCTACACTAGCAGGACAAAGGATCTGTGGCAGCAGGCTGAGGAATCTGAACTGGAGCCAGGAAGCAATGTTCAAAATAAGAACCAGAGCTCTTCTGAGAAGTGCCACAGCTACTCTCGGTTACAATGAAGTCCCGAGGTCCTCCAGCAGTGAGGAAAGCTGAGTTGCCACCAGGAAAGCCAACGCAACAAGCTTCTCCTAACAACCTCTCAATAGCTTCTCAGTCCTGCCTCTTCTGCTGCCAGCAGCAATCCTCAGGTGGCTGGCCACCAATATCCGGCACCCTGCTAGTTCAGTTCAGTGGGGTATAACAAGCTGACCACCAGTTGGCAATCCACCACAATAAAGTACAGATTAATTGAGAAGAAAAATTAGACAAAGGTAAAATAGGATTAGGCTGATAAGATGAGAGACGGAATAGAGTTTTCTTTAAGTGCCCTGCTGAAGTCTTATCCTCCTACTTGACATGGGGGACGGATATGCTTTTGGTTCTTTCTTTTCCTAGTAGCTGTCTAGGAGCAGGTAAGACACAGAGAAAAGAAGTGAATGTTGCCATCCACACACTGCGTAGTACAACTCTGCATGACCCAAAATTGTCTCCTAAAATTAATATATTTAAATGATTTCTTAAAAAGTCCTAGAATTTATGACTTTTGATAATTTATAAAAACATTTCATTAATTTTCATGAAATGCAATTTGTCTCTTTAAAAATATTCAGCAGACTTTTGTTGAAAGAGGGAAAATTTGTGACTCCAAAGGCTTTCTCTAATAATTCGGTTTCAGTGATCAGGGCTTGTGGGAATGTGTTTTAATCTCAGCAGAGTGGCTTTCCTGTGCTGGTGCTGAGTAAGATTTGATGCCTCAGCTTGCAGGTACCGGTGCTAGGTTTCTAACAAGCTGTGCGCCTGCGTTCTTTGCCCTCAGATTGCCCACCATTAGATGGATCAGTACCTCATCTTCGATCTGCATCTACAGATGTAAAGCCAGGCTCCAAAGTCAGTCTGTTCTGTGATCCTGGCTTCCAGATGGTCGGGAATCCTGTCCAGTTCTGCCTCAACCAAGGACAGTGGACACAGCCCCTGCCCCGCTGTGAACGTGAGCTCTTTTTGTTGAAGGCACTTCAGGGGCCCTTGAAAAATTTTGGAATTGTGGTTTTTAGGAATGCTAGACAAAAGCTAAATATTTCCCAGTAGCCAAGAAGGCAGATAGTCATTGGAGTCCTTCCTTTGTGGAAGAAGCTGTGTGGGGAGGTGGGAGATGAAGGTAGGGAGGCCAGCTGTGAATGCTTCTAATGTAGCACAAGAAGCAGGGTGTGAAGAAAAGACAGTCTGGGTAAGCTGGAAGCCCAGAAAGACATGGGTCATGGCTGGGACCACGGGGGTGGGGATAAGAAGAGGTCCCTTGAGCTGAGTAGGTCCTTCCATTCACTTACTCAACCATCTTTAAATTACCTATTATGTGTCAGGCACTGAGCTGCTTTCTGAAAATGCAGACATTGAGACCAAATTCCTGTCCTTATGGTCTTTACAATAAAATGAAATGAAAGAGGCAGAAAAGTAAGGACATATATTATTTATTTATGGTAAATAGCAATGAGAAGGACTAGAAAAATAAATCATAGGGAAATGCAAAGTGAAGGGGTTGGGTGGAGCCAAGACTCCCATTCTAAATCAAAGATTGCCCCTGACATGACATGTATCTATGTCTCTTATCTATGTACCTCGCTGCAGAGCAAACTCCACAAGGCAGGGTTTTGTCTTGTCCATTGCCATCCTCAACCCCCCAAGGCAGCATCTAATGAGTAGTAGAATCCTGTACATGAACACATTCAGCTACTAGGAGCCAGGCAGTACACTCCATGCCGAGGCTGCACATGTGTTCTAACCTGCCGTGGCTCCTATAGCACTCTCAACCCAGCATTTGTGTAAATGAAGACAATCCATGCTTAACTGGACATCACAGAAGTAGTTTGATGTGAATAAAATTTCCTCTGAGCATTTTGCTACTGATTAGCTGTGTTTTTTCTGGCCACATTTCAGGCATTAGCTGTGGGGTGCCTCCTCCCTTGGAGAATGGCTTTCACTCAGCTGAAGACATCCACGCAGGCAGCACTGTGACCTACCAGTGTAACAATGGCTACTATCTTCTGGGTGACTCCAGGATGTTCTGTACAGACAGCGGGAAGTGGAACGGCATTTCACCATCATGCCTAGGTAAGACGAACATTGGAGATTACCATGTGGGCATATTCTAGCTCTTTGGAAATTACTATAAATTCCTGTGGCTCTCGGCCTTCCTTTATTAGGGCCATCTCTTCCCAGTAAATTCTAGGTAAGATATAATGATAAAGCAACTGTCCCTAGAGATGCAACAAATATTTTACATTTTATCAGGCTCAATATTAAGACATGGGCCAGCCAAATAGCTCAGCAGATTAATGCACCTGCTTAGACAGGCAGGGGCCAGGGTTTCGATTCCCTGGTGGGCCATGCCAGCCCCAACCCCCTGGGGTGCACTGAGACAGCAATTGAGGCAGGGCATGGTGGTGTGCACCTGTAATCTCAACACTTAGGAGGCTAAAAAACAGGAGGATCACTATGAATCTAATCTGTATAGTGAGACCCTGTTTCAACTTGCCCATGTATAAAGAAATGATAGCTTTCTTTGTGTATCTGCAATGTAATTAGGACTTAGGTAAATTTTATAGAAATAGTGTAATATATTAAGAGATAATGACTTAAAACTAAAAATAAGTGCCTAATACAGAAATATGAGCTAGACTATTTGCATAACAGTAAACACAAATGCTTAATGCTTAAGAAAAGTGAATCAACTAGAACATTTGTTTCAGATGTTGACGAGTGTGCTGTTGGATCGGACTGCAGTGAGCATGCTTCATGCCTGAATACCAATGGGTCCTACGTGTGCTCGTGCATCCCGCCGTACACAGGAGATGGTAAAAGATGCACAGGTAACCAAGAACTGGAAACTCCTATTTCAGCTTTTTATTGGCCTATGCATTTTAAAGGTGTGTGAATTTAAAATGAGACAGTGGTTTTACACAAAAAGAATATCTCAAAGGAACACTTGTGCACAAGCAAGGACAAGAAACATTACTTCTATTAAACAATGTTTAAATACCAAGTCATACAGAGAAAGAACAGATTTAAAATAGGGAAGAAAGGTAAACATTACTGAAAGAAAAGCAAATACATTAGACTGTGAGCTTTGGAACCAGCTTGCCACTGGGTTTAGACTAAATAATACTCTAAATTTGAGTTCAAATTGCACACAGCTGTTGTAATTTATGATTGAAATAGAGTCAGGCATGGTGGCACATGCCTGCGATCCCAGCACTTGGAAAGCTGGGGCAGGAGGGTCACTGTGAGTTCGAGGCCAGCCTGGGCTACATACTGAGCTCGTAGTAAGAGCCTGTCTCAAATTAAAAAACAGTAGCAAAAAAGAAAAAGGAGTAATTTATTATTGAGATAAAAGAAAGAATGCAACAGATATGAATTAACAGTTCTATTACTAGAGATAGATTGGAATGGTAAGGAAATACTAGAGATTGGTGTAGAGGGTGAGTTAATGAAGCACGTGAAGCGGACTTTTAATCTACATGTGAAAATAGTGAAATAAAGTGTAAGTTCATGTGAGGAAGGATACTCATTCAAAAACAAAACCAAACAGAACCCTACATTTTAGTTAGATAAGTCTTGTATATTTTATTAGTTGTCATTGTTTAAATGCCTATTAAGTATCTTTTCAAATGTTTGTAGAATCATGCAACTTTCTTAAGGAAATATGAAAATTACTACAGAAAAAAGAATTGAAATCATCTATTATCTCACCACTGAGGAATACTTACTATTAGAAATAGGAGATAAAAGCATTCTCTTTATGCTGTTTGTTTTCTTCATGCTTTCTATAACCTTCTTCATTTTTAGCTATTTCAAATAATAGTGTCATGTATTTTTTTTGTCACAAAAGCTTGAGAACATGATTTTAAGTCCTGCTTTATAAGCCATTATGTAGATTTCCCCTAATGAACTTTTTGTACGTCGACAGTAGATGATATCCACTATGGAAATAATTCAATGAGCATCTATGAACATAAATACTTGTTTTTATTTTGGATTACTTGTTCCAAAATTCAGCCTTGTAGTCACATTTACATTTTCAGAGTATTTCAGTAAATAGTTTGACTGCAATGGCCAAATGACCCATAAGAAGACTGAAGCAATACCTGCTCCCTGTGGAATTTTCAGAAGAGAGCACATAGATTTTCCTCCTGTTGATCACTCCAGCCTAAATGCAGCTTTAATCATTTCTCTTCTTATTGTTCAGTGGTGGCTGACTCCTGGTCTATGTGAAGAAAGGGCTTAGAGCCCACACTCTGAAAAGGGAGGCTAAGAAGTTCCCTCGGGCTACTGTACAACTTTTATATCACCTTGTGACCTGTTCAGTTGCTCTTCTAAAATCGGATATGAGGTCAGGGCGGGGCAGCAGGGGTCCGGGGCTTTTTAGCCACGCTCTGGTGCCATCATTGCTTTCCTCATTCAAAAACAAAACCAAACAGAGCCCTACATTTTGGTTAGATAAGTCTTGTATATTTTATTAGTTGTCATTGTTTAAATGCCTATTAAGTATATTTTCAGAACTGGGATGTAATGGTGCACACCCACAATCCTACCCCTCTTGGAGGTGGGGGTAGAATTAAACTTAATCACAAGTTTAAACCCAGCCTGGGGTACTTAACTTAGTGAGACCTTGTCTCAAAATAAAAAATTTAAAAAGGCTGAGATTGTTCCTCAGTTCAAAGGCCATAGTCTTTATTTGTCTTCCCTCAAAAACATTTCTCCTAGGATTTTCATGGGTACCTTAATTATAGTGAAATTCTTTTGCTCTGACCCTTTTCATGGCTGTATGAAGGCCACTTACTATCCCACACAAATTTTCTTCAAGAACCTGTAAAATGCAAAGTTCCAGAAAATCCAGAAAATGGCTACTTTTCCGGTGAGTTCTACACAGTGGGTGCTGAAGTGACGTTTTCATGTGAGGAAGGATACCACCTGAGGGGAGTGGCCAAAGCCACCTGCTTGGCCTCCGGAGAATGGAATCACCAAAGACCAAATTGTGAAGGTATATTGAATTAATTTCCATGTTATTGTGTTTGGCAATTCTAGAATATTAGCTATGGCAAATGTTATTTGTAGCAACCTTCTTTGTTTTGAAACCAAATATTAGGCTTCAGTTTACACATGACAAAGCTGTCCCCTGAGCATTCAGGGGGTTTGCACACACATTCTTAGCAAAACCATGTTTTTCCCCTCCTTTCAGCTATTTCCTGTGGTGCACCAGCTATTCCAGAAAATGGTGGTATTGCTGGGTCAGCATTTACTTATGGCAGTAAAGTGACATACAGGTCAGTGTCTAAAGTTAAAGCTACAATGCAGAAGTTGTTGATTGATAACATGTCATTAGTGGTATAATATTAGGAGATATAACCCCAGAGAATGTTTTTAATTTATATGAAATTAATTGAATGAAGTGTAGTGTAACAAAGCCTAATCCAATCATCTAATCCAGTCATAGCTAGCATCCCAGGGTCATCCCTGCCACTACTCTCCACTGAGACACTCTGAGAACAGTGTCATGGAGGAAGCTACTCCTCACTACAGATTAATATTGGTTATTTGTGGGCTTTGATTCCCAGCCTGCCAGCTCAGCAACTAGAGTAGCACAGGCACTCTCAAAACAAGGCTCTGCATACAACTACTAATCCATGACAATCCACAGGCAAGCCAACTTCTTAAATCTGTTCTCTAGTTATTGCCAAGCAGAATTGCTCTGGGAAAGGTGTACATTTTAGTCTTGAAATAAAATGTGAAGCATTGTTTCAGAGAGAGAGAGAGAGAGAGAGAGAGAGAGAGAGAGAGAGAGAGAGAGAGAGAGAAAGATTTTCCATTGTGTGCAAATTCCCATAGTTTGGAGGTTTAAAATATAGATAAAACTATGCAAAATAAAGCAGATTACACTCTGTGATTTTCCTTTATTTCCTTCAGGTGTAATAAGGGCTATACTTTGGCTGGTGATAAAGAAACCTCTTGTCTCGCTAGTGGGTTTTGGAGTCATTCTTCCCCTGTGTGTGAACTGGTGAGGTGTTCTAGCCCTGAAAACATAAGCAATGGCGAGTATGTTGTGAGCGGGCTCACCTACCTGTCTACTGCATTATATACGTGTGAGAGTGGATACAGGTAACGTGCATAGGTACTGGGCCAGCTTCCTACAATATCTCTTTGCTCATTCTTTACTCTGTAGGATTCACTTGTATGTAACTGGCTGACTTTCAAAGTAAGTTCCTAAGTGGAAGGTTGTTCTCAAATTTGTGTGCTTCCTGAAAGCTAGCTTATAGCAAATGCCCAAGAAAACAACCTGTGACCCTGTGGGTCCTTGCAGGGCAACTGTGTAAGTATTCAAACTCTAAACATGAAAGCAAAAATTGTGAATGCACAGAATGTTCTTGCCAGGGATGCTTTAAAATAAATAGTATACCACGTTTATGCTCAACATGGCATAGGGCTGAATTCCAAAAAGCACATGCAAGCTGGACATGGTGATGTTTGCCTGCAATCCCAGAGCTATTAGGGGCTGAGGCAAGAAGATTACAAAATTTGAAGTCAGCCTGAACAACTTAGTGCCTTAGCAAGACTCTATCTCAAAATACAAAATAAAGGGCTGAAAGTGTAGCTCCCAGCTGGATTCAATAACCAGTATGGGCAGGAAAAGGGTATATGTCCAGGGAAGGGCCTAGGTTCCCAATAGTGTAAAAGATTGATTTTTTTATTTCATACTTTATATTAGCATGATTAGCTATATAGTTCAATGTGCTGTATTTTGGCAGATTTGAACATTCACATAACATAGTTTGACCACTTTTGCTCCTTCATTACCCCTTTGCCCCTCCTGCTCCATCAATTTCCCATTAGGGGAGGCTTCCATGTGTCAAATACATTTGGTTCTATACATTTCCCTGTTACCCTTGTATCCCCTGAACCTCTGTTTATTCTCTTCTTCTCCCCTTGTCCAACGATCTCTGTCCTGCTTTCATGTCATCTTCTTTAGATTGAGGGAGAACATGCTGTATTTGTCATTCTTCCTATGACTTTTGTCATTCAGCATTTCCAGATCCATCCATTTTCCCGCAGTTGATATAATTTTGTGCTTCTTGTAATTGATTAACACTTGCTCCACTGTATATTTATACCATAATTTCTTCATCCATTCATCTGCTGACAGGTAGCTAGACTGGTTCCATATTTTGGCTGCTGTAAATTATGTCAAATAATGGTGTGCAAATATGGGTATGCAAATATCCTTAGAGAGTGCCGACTTTAATGCCTTTTGATATACACCAAGGGGTGGCACATCTGGTCAAATGGTAGCTCTACCTTTAGTTGTTTGAGGACTGATCTCCACACTGACTTTCCTGTTGGCTGTCCTAATTTACATTCCCATCAGGAGGAGAGAAAGGTTTTCCTGCCCTACCCTCACCAGCACTTATTATTTTTGTATTCTTGATGATAGTTGTTCTGACTAGGGTGAGATGGAATCTCAGTGTAGCTTTGATTTGCATTTCCCTAAGGACTGAAATATTTGGTCATTTATTTTTTTATCCATGTACTTCTTTTGAAAAGTGTCTGTTCAGTTCATTTGTTCAGTTATTGATTGGGCTATTTGTTTGAGGTTAAGTTTGTTCTTCATTTGTGCTAGAAATTAGTCCTTTTTCAGAGGAGTAGCTGACAAAGATTTTTCTCCCATTCTGTAGGCTGTCTATGGTGAGTATGTTCACAAAGAAGGAATAATAGGGAAAATCAAAGTGTGATCAGGAAGGTGGTCAAAAGTAGAATGAATAACACAGCCGATCAGAATTATACTAAAAAACAAAGTGGAATAAGTCATGACATAGGGTCACAAAGTTTGGGAAATTGCAGAAGCCGAGGTCAGAATCATAGTAATATGATTTAAATGTCCAGGATTACAGCAGGGACAGTGCCCTTGGATGTCACTTACTCAGGTTACCTGTCTGTGCAGCTGGGTGCCTCCCAGTAGGATCCTAATCTTACTAACCTTTTCCTAAGCAATCTGCTATCCACAAGGTCTGAAGCTCTCTACAACACTACCAACGAGCACATCAAATTTTATTTTGCATCAAATGACTGTTGTTTTACCCTGTTAATTGTTTTAAATGACGCACAGTCTGTGTAGATTTCCCTTGTTTTTATACAAAGCCGTAAAATATGAAGAGACATTATTTTCATGAACCAAAACTGTTTAAGTAAATGTGCTCCATATTCTTGTAAGTTGTCCTATTTTATCTCCATAACAGTAAACAGTTACCCAGTGAGAGGTGATGGCGTGTCCTTCCTCCTTGTTTCTTGCAGCTTACAGGGCCCTTCCTTCATTGAGTGCACAGCTTCTGGCAGCTGGGACAGGGCACCACCCACCTGTCACCTTGTCTCCTGTGGAGAGCCACCTGCCGTCAAAGATGCTGTCATCACTGGGAGTAACTTCACTTTTGGGAACACTGTCACCTACACGTGCAAAGAGGGGTAAGTAAAGCCGGTGAGGAAAGGAACACTGAGAGCTGAAGGAAGGGACACTTTCTGACACAGATTGGCCTCCGCTGCATGCAAAACTAAGTATCCTGGCAGCCAGAGCTAAAGAGAGTTTCATGCTCTTATTTTCTGATGGCAGAGAAGGAATTTACTTTCCTGAACAAGCAGTATTTTCTTTGAATTCATTAAGCTTATTAAATAATAGGCATTGAGCAATGCAGTGAGCTGTATCTTTGTACTTTTATCAAAAAATAACCCTGGTGTAAGAACTCAAAAGAAGAAGTAAAAATTGAAAGGTATGGCACAGTTAAATGGAAAGCGAAAACTTAAGAATTAAACAATGATGGGACCTGGGAGATGGCTCAGTGGAATAAGCGCTTCCCTGGCAAGCGCAAGGGCCTGAGTTCAGTCCCCCCTTCTCTAAAATACAAAAAAAAAAAAAAAAAGAATTAAACAATGAAGAGAGAGAAAGGAGAAATTTAGGGAACATGGCAGAGGCAAAAGCATACATTTATGTAAAAAAGATGGTTAAGGCAGTGGTCTTAAGAATCACCATCAGGTTTTTGAAAATAGCAGCTAATGGGTAGAATTGTCACCCTGACTAACTGTATATGCTGATATCTGTGAACTAAGCAACTGTACTGAGGACAGCAATGTGTAATGCTAAAACCATGCTTGAAATACCTGTCATTTTGGTCTTCTTAATGCATACTGCTTCTAATGTCATAACAATTAGTGCTATACTCTCTTTAAAGTAAATGTTTGCAAAAAAAAAGTAATAAAAGAAAACAAGAGATAAGGAAAAAAATAAAACAAATGCAACCAATGCATTTAAATAGATAGCTGTGTATTTTTCTTCCTCCAAACCAAAGGAAGGATTTTAAGTCACAGCACAAAGATGATACGTCTTCTGGCGAAACATGTAAATGATAAAGTTCTGGCTTGTACAATTCTGATGATCCTGTTGTATTCTGACATAATATTTGGGAAAATGGGAAGCAAATTACAAAGGGCCTCCCCCATTTCCACTGGATCTCATTTCAAGTCATCGTCTGCTCCTGGGGCGAGCCTGGGCAGGAGATGAGAGAAGGACAGATGCCTCCCCGACGACCTGCCTAGGGCTCCTGGCGGTCTGGAGAGACAGCTACATTCTGTGTCTTCTCATTCGACTTCTAGGGTCCATTTCTGTTTCTGTTTCCTGATTTAGTATTTCACCATTAGCAGCGCTTCCTCAATGGCTCTCTTCAGTGACCGCAGTTGCTCTTCACACACTGGGAAACAACAGTGCAGGGGTGGCCACTCTTCACTTGTATCTCAGTGCTGTGCTTCACTGTGTGACCTTGAGGACATGGTGTGACCTTTGTGTGCATTAGTCATCCTGCTATGTAAAATTGATCCATTAATGGATAGTGTAATGAAACATAATTATGGGGCCGGGGACATGGCTCAGTAGAATAAGGGCTTCCCTGGCAAGCGCAAGGGCCTGAGTTCA